ATAACTAATTAAACAAAAAGACCTTGATCTATCTATAAATTTCTTAGAAACGGACTATCTGGAAAGCCCTGAATAATATCCCGGCTAAGAAGACCAGTTACAGTATAATTGTGAATACATTGTACAATAAGCAAAATATATATAAGTGACAGGCAAACAGATAGCTCTAAGCCGTCGTGATAATTGTACATAAATGACAGTTCGAAAGAAAATATTTTTACTTTTATTCAGCGTCCAAATAATGAAAACGCTCTTACGACCGCGTAAGCGCATGGTTAGCAGGAAGAAGTACCTCAGCAGATGGGTCAAATCATGATGAAACGTGTCACTCCTTGGTGTGCTTGGCAGGTTATGCAAGGTGTCTGGCGCTATCACACTTTCATAAATTTTAGTAATAAATGACTTGCAACACACAAAGGAAACTTATATGATTGCATTTAGGACAACAGCGAACATAAAAGGAAAATATAATTTTATAACAGAGCCAGCAACCAACATCCTATCTCCCTCAGCAGATATAATTTGTTTGTAAGTCTTTTGTAAACTTTTTCTTATTTAGCTTTTTTTCTCTTTTTCTTTAACGAACACTGTTTGAATGGGTGCGTATCGGGGGTGGATCTGGATAACAGCACACGATGGAACACGAACCGACATCACAACTGACGTCAGATATTTGAGAGTTGAACGTTCCTAAGAGCGAACTGCCTGAAAGCCAGAAGAAAAGTGCAGCGCTCGAGGAAGGGCAAACTTTAATGAACTGCTCACACTATACTGAGACTTAAAGAAAGCCATAAGATCTAGCAAAAGGAGAAGCTTTGAAGAAATATGCCAAGATGCTGATATTAACCCGTGAGGAAGGGCATACAAAGTCGCCCTAAAGAAGTTCAGAGGACAGAAAACGCCGCAAATCACTTGTCAGCTAGCACTCCGGCGAATAGTAGCAAGACTTTTCCCGCAGAGGCCGCCGTATGTGTTGGTAAACCTCCACGGCAGAGAAGAGGAAGCACTACCAGCAATTACTGTCGATGAGCTTTTAAGCGCTTGCAAACGAATTGAGGACAAAAAAAAACACTGGCCCAGAGGGAGTCCCAAACAAGGCCTTAAAGGCGGCGATACGAAGGAGGCCTGACGTCTTCACGACGATGCTGCAGAGGTGTATGGAAGAATGGACATTCCCAGACGTACGGAAGGTCCGAAGGCTGGTCCTTATTCCGAAGGCCAATAAGTCACTGAACGAGCCATCGTCATACCGACCCATTAGTTGTGGTTGAAGAAAGACGTACTCTCTCTGATAACCAGTATGGATTCCGTAGAGCGCGATCTACGGATAGATGCCATAAACCACGTCGTGGCGCTTGCCTTTAGACGCTATAGCCGGAGACCGATGGAGGGGCGGTGATAAAAAGTACTGCGCCGTCGTTACGCTAGACGTAAAGACGCCTTCAACTCGGCGGACTGGGGGCTTATCCGCAAAACCCTCATAAGAATGCGGGTTCCAAGGTATATACTTGAGATAATAACAAGCTACCATTCGAATCGCACGTTAGTGTACGATAGCGATAATGGAAAAAAATCGCATAAAATAACGGCGGGTGTTTCACAGTGGTCAGTTCTTAGTCCTCTCCTGTGGAACATAACAACGATGTCTTTGAACTTAACCTTCCTGCCGGGGTAACGATCGTCGATGATATAGCAATCGTAGTGGTTGCAAAAACGTCACGCAGGTAGAAGCGAGGGCTAACGAGGCTATCGTCAAAGTGAAGTCGTGGCTAGAAGAGATGGGGCTGGAGCTAGCAAAGCATAAAACGGAAGCGGTCCTAATAAGCAGCAGGAAGCGCGTGGAAACATGCTGCATACGAGTCTGCAGCACAGAAAAACGCCGCGGTGAAGTAAAGTATTACCTAACCCAGCTTCTGACTGGCCATGGCTGTTTTCGGAAATATCTACACTGATTCGGGCGCGACAGCTCGCCTAACTGCCCGATATGCGCGGATACGGAGGAAGATGCAGAGCACGTAATCTACTGCTGCAGATTTGAGAACGGGAGGCCACAAATGCCACCTAACGAGATCACGAATGATCGGCAGTGCAGCAGCCTGGAAGGCCATAGACGCGTTCGCTAGCAATACTCTCGTGGAGTTACGGCGATTGGAGAGACAACGGGTGGAGAGCAGAGGGAGTGGAAGCCGATAGTGTATTCCACTGAAGTCCCACCATCAGAAACGTGCTAGCCACAACCAACCTCCTCGAAGTAATACCTAACGGTGGTCCCGCGTGGGAGAGTGGTAGACGAATTACGTGTGGCGGGGTCGTTTTTAGTACGTATGCGCGATGGATGGCGAACCGTGCATGCTGCTATTAAGATCCAGCAGTATCTTTTGAAGATTTTCTACCTCCAGCTCGCAGAGTAAAAAAAAAAAAAAAAACATGTAGAAATTGTGACTAACACAAACTGTAAACAATTAAGCGTTTTGTTATTTGACAATGTCTATAAATCCATATATCTGTTACAATTAATATTGTTCAACTTTTTTTGTCATTATTTAAGACTGGAAGCCACAATAGGCATTTTTTCTTATAGACCAGTCATTTTGACTAGTATTAGTAGAAATAGGTATATTTAAATAGCTGGTAAATCTAGTGTTAAATAAAATGTTGCGAAAAAAAAGGAAAACAAAACAGTGATAATAAAACCTGTAACATTCGTTATAGGTACAACTTTGCATGAGAGAGATTGTTTATCTTTCTCGGTAAGAAAAACAAATGATTGAATGGGAAATTTTTTGTGGTGATTTTTTGGAAATAAGTAAACGAGAATTTTGGGTTAGTAGACGCGTAATGTTGGAAGCAAGAAAAGAAAAACCTGTCTAGACAATGCGCAAATGCGATGGTCTTGCGATTAGCGTATGATTTATATTTCTTTTTCTTCGCTATGGATCATTTAACATTTTTAAACCAAAATTGTCTAGACAGGTTTTTCTTTTCTTGCTTCCAAAATTACGCGTCTACTAACCTAATATACTCGTTTGCTTCTTTCCAAAAAATCTTTCTGAAAAATAAGTAAAAATAGTAGACGAATATTAAAGAGATAAGTTCGACAGCACATGGCTAAAAAGTCAAGCCATACAACATTCAAAGATTGTAATAAAATAACATTGAAATTTCATTTGTAAGAATTTCATTTAATAAAGAGAATATATGCTGAAAACATAAAGCATAAGAAACTGTAAATCAACGATAACCTTAATCTCCATGTTCATCCAAAATTAAGCGTATGAGATAATGGTATAATAAACTGTCTTATGCACTTCATTTTATATAAACACATCTCGTAGCCATGCGAAAAGCAATTAGGTACCTGCTATTATATACATTCATCTTAATAATAGAAACATCTATAGATTCGTGAAACATCTTCGAAACATCTTCAGTTAGTTATACACACACCATCTTCGTTAGGTCCACCATACCATTTGAAAAGCATATTCTGCTGTACATCACACTGTTATGTAAGGCTTTTATCTTATTCTATTTACTGTTCGATATATATTATGCATGTTTATAATTTTGATTAATATATAAACGCCAATTAGTTAATTATTACGCTCATTCCAATTATAAGGCATTAGTAGGCATTAACATTTTCATGTGTATTTTCAAAAAACAATATGAATTAAATTCGATTACCGATAAACGAAAAATAAAATATGTACTAAAGTTTTTGGTTTTATTATGAGAGCAAAATAGATAAGGAGGGGGTTGTCCGACCTAAGTTCGGACTCTCCCATTGCAAATCGTGGGCTGAAGGAGATCAAAGGTGTGGTAGGGTATAGAATTGGCCCAGGACTTATGATCCACCCGCTCGGTAAATAGGTGTTTCATCTGTCCGTTTATCTCTCTATAACGGTATACATGGCACATGGATTTCTTTTAGATGTAACCGTCTGTGGAGTGCTCGTAGGACCAATATTTAAAACCATCCCATAATTCCCAAATTAGCTAGCTCAGCAATGACACCTGCGTCTGCCTTTACATGCTCCGATCGTCTTCGAGTAATACCCAAGAGAGTAGTTTTAAAAATAATAAAGTCCTTAGTCAATATTTGGACAGACCTTTGAGGATAAACAGACAATAACGTTACAAACACTGCTTTAACAAATGATATATGCATGGAAATCGTATATTCTGCAAAGAATGCATACAGGGAGCTTTAAAATCAAATCAAGAATGTCCCTGCTGCAAAGTAAATGTTTATATGGAAGAGTCAATCTGTCGTCTGTACGTTTAAATCAATAAATGTTTTTCCACATTATTTTCCAAACTTTTGTACAAAACCACTTAGAACGAACTATCACAGTATAAAAATCATGTCATTAAGCTGTAGAAACTATTTAAGCTAATAACAGCTAGGTAATATAAAGCTTGCGGGAACATGAACACTCACTCATCTTCTGTAAAATCATTTCGTTTTCATTCCGTACCAAGTATACAGAAAAGCTTGTACGCCTCCTTTCAAATCTCGACTAAGGGAGTACTTGTTAATGGTAATTTTGTTTTACTAATAGTTAAGTATCTCCAGTGATTTGGCACAGGGGAAAAGAAATTTCGGTAGTGGGTCCGGAAAAGGCATGCTTTTTTTCAGATGTTGATCGGATATAGTCAATTAGGGGGGACTTACTTGCTCTAGCAAAACCGAAATTTCTTGCATTTTTATAAGAAAGTTTTCGCCTTTACGCTGCAGAGTGAATACAAATAAAGAGAAATTTTTTTATGCATAATCACTAGCGTATACGTCGATCATATTTGGAAATATGTCTGTCATAATTTTGTGAATCATGAATGCGATGATAAGACGCATATTAAATTTCTTAGTCAGCAGCTTAGCAGCTACAGTCTTACTTAGCGCCTCCACGCAGTACAAGTTAGCAAAGACCGAAAAAAAATAAACTCAAATATTAAAATTCTGTCACTTATCAAATAATTTTATAACCTTACTTTTATAATAAACGTATGTTCACAAAATAACGAAAAATAAAAACAAAAACAATTAGCACGCTTACGAAAATGCAAAGCTTGCATCAGGCGCGCCCCATATTAAGCGTTAATGTTAAATTATATTAATTTCTAATGTCAACATGATCATAAGAAATCTTAAAAAGAGAATTTTGGATTAATCTAATCTAGTATCTAAACAATGCAATGGATTAATAAATTTCAATTTCTATACGTAATATATGTATGTAATACATTACATTTTATAAAATTTATTTGCTTTTATGAAAGGAAAAATATATTGATAGGGGTCGTCGAACGCAACTTCGGTGTCTCCCACAAACTTTTTCTCTTTTTTTTTTTGAGGTCGAACAGAGAGCAACAGGCGGTGTGGGTATTGAAATGATCGAGGTGCATATAGATTGGATTCCTGTTCGGTATGTTAGGGTGAAGAAAAAAACATTTTTTCAAATCATCTGACAAGCTTCAAATCAATGCATGGATTCAGCAATAAACATATATAAAAAAAAAAAAAACGGAAAAAGAAAACAACCAGAAAATTGTAAACGATACAATAAAGCGGTGGATTATGCTTATGCAATTGGCACACTCTGCATTACAAGGACAAGCAACAATCTGACAAGCGAGACAAAGATAAGGCAGTCGGGAACAAAATTGCGATGAAGGCAAGCGATTGAAAGTGCGCCAAAAAATGTTAGAAGATACATGGCCAAGAAAAGTTTAAAAGTTTATAAGCATAAGTTAAAAAAAAAAAAGAAGCTTAAAACGTGAAGACTCAATGCAACAGGAAGTGTAATATATGAAGATAAAAACTAATAATAAAAAGACTTATTGGGTTTAGCTGTTTATTGAATAAGCTAGACTTAAGATAAACCATTTCTTTGAAGAAAAAAAAAAATTTGTAACGTCCGCGAACAAAATTCAGGAAGGTTATCTGTCACTTCCCTTTTACCACGAATGTCATAATAACGGCATGCCGTTAGAGGTATGTAAAAGAGCAGAGATAGAGAAAAATCATGCGAAGAAATTCGGTGGTGGTTTTTCTCTCGTTTGCTGATCGCAAAGGGAGTCGAGCTTTAACCACAGGAGTGGTGTTGTGAAAACCTGAATTATAAAGAATTGTTTCGTTTCTTAGCGAAGTTGTTTTAAATTAAATATAAAAAAAAAAAATAAAAAAAAATGGAAATAAAAGAAAAGATAATAACCTACTTACCTACGTCATGCCGTTATTGATGTACGTTTTACTTATTCCCTAATTGTTCTTTTTGTTTTTTTTTGCAAATTTAGCTGAGCTGGTCAAAGAGAGAAAAAAATTCAGCCCCAGCTCTAACTACATTATCAAGTATTAAATTTATATAGGAAAATATGTCTTCACGTACGCATACCTTTGCGATAAATATAAAGCGATTTCCAATTTCTGATTGTGCTTGAAAGGTGCCTTCGCAAAATATATGAAAACGGATGACATTTTCTAATTCAACCGTATTCTTCTTTGTTTTTAATTTTCGGGGAAATACATGTACCTATGTCTACGAAAAATAGAAAATGCTCGATATTGACAGGAAACACTCAATATAAATTCTTTTTGCGTTCAAATTAGTCTTTTTTGTGTTAACGATGCATACGCGGTATATTTATTGAACGTTTGATATTTGAAAAACATAAAACATGGAAACAGTCATTAAGTTAATGTGAGAGAAAGAGATTTATGTGCAATGTGCATAGAATTTTATATGAATAGTATAAGTAAATCTCATGTACATTGCGCAAATAAAATTTTGCATTTCAATGAGATAAAGGCAATAGATTTATGAGAGTGAGAAATAGAGAGAGCAGAAGAACAAATTTCCAAGGATGTGGCAACATAAGCAATGCCTTCTTACTCAAGAATCGTCACTCAAGTAACACGTCTTAGAGTCATTAAATTAATTTTTATTCAATTTTGTGCAAGTTATACACAAAATTGTTAGTTGCGAGTTTTTTTTCTATATGATGAGAGTTACATTAGGATAAACTAAATGAAATGAAATGAAAAATGCGAAGGGGACAGATAAAGGTCAACCAGCAAGCGACAGCCTGTCGTTGTGGCAATTTGTAGTGGACCCAAACTTAATGTCAATTTAATCCTTTTCCCTGCATTATATATATATATATATATATATTTCATTCCTCATTTTATTATTTAGCTATGTAATGAGTTGACGATGAAAAAAGACACTGTTTCGGAGAAATAAAGTGACGTGAAAACGCGTTAATTTTATTTAAAGCGTCAAGTCAGCATCAGCCAACCTAATCCATCCGTTGGCATACCGCTTCCAAGCATTGGAAAGAAATAGATGCACTAGAAAAGTGATTCGGGGAAAGGCAATATGCTAAATGTTCAAGAAATCGAAAATATGGGCAAAAAAAAAAAAAGCAAAAAGACCCTACGTAGATAGGTACGTAAATGCATAGCGAAAACTGTCAATTAATAAAATAATACGAAACGTTACTTTTAATGCGTAACATAATTAAGTTTTTTTTTTAAGAGCTTGAAAAAGAAAATTTTCCAATACGTTACTTTACATTAGCACTTGCAACCTTATATATCTTTATAATAGCCATAACACATAACATTTAAAAAGTTATGTTAATAGAAAAGCAAACAAAAGTATTTTTTCAGTAATACCGATACAATAAATAAGATCTCTTTATTCAGATCCAGTCAATAATTAAGACAAACTCAATAATAAACAAACAATTGTTAGTAAATCTTTAAAAAGCATATATAAGAAAACTTCCGCCTTCGGACTCATATCGTTCGTACATCTGTACACCGTGCAAAAATAAAATTACTGCTAATGGACGTCGCGATGGTAATCTGGCTTGTTATGTGGATGTGGGAAGCTTACCGTCTATATTTGATAATCTAACAACTACCCTTAAGACTTCACAAGACCCTGAACGCATCACATGATACTATCTTAGCTGGCCTTAACCCAATATCGTCAATTATAATAACAAAATTCAACAAGCTGAAATCAACCATGCTTCTAAATGTTCTTCACAAACGGTTAAACCGTCCCAGTACCATCATAAATGATCTGCCTGATAGCCTTCAGGACTTTCCGGGTATTGTTATTAAGTTGGCATTTACTTAACAGATTCCAATTTCTGTGGTCGATATCAGTACGATGTGCTATATGAATAAGGAAAAATTTGTACTGGTAGAATTAAATTCAATAATGTCACGCAATAAAATCATGAGTGCGTATTTCAAGAACATGAAAACTTGGCTGAATATCGGCTGCCAGGAAGCTTAATGCTGCATTTTTAAAATTACGGCAAGATAAGACGATAATCAAATATATAGGTGATAAATATAGTTAAAACGTTCGCTATGCCGGCACCACCTGGTAATACGTCCATTGTACGTGATTTGGAAGGGTGCGCGGAACTTATGTAGTTTGGATATTATTATATGCTTTTTGTAATTTTCTTTCCCCCCCGCACTAGTTCTTACTATTGATATATATACGTCTCTCTTTAAATAATTAAAACCAAATGGGTTATAAGATACGCACTGTGGTTAACATACAACTAACATTGATATAAGTAAAACAAAAAGTAATAAAATCAGAAAAAGAAGAATGTATATATATGAAAAGTAATGTCTTTAATAAGAAACCATCCCCTTGTCTTTGCTGAGATAAAGAAGGAAAGTGCGAATTGTAAGGAGAGACAAAATGGATGTCGGCGTCACAAATTGACGCTTTTAGTGGAAGCGACTCGGACGTTTCGTTTCTTTACTTTTTTGAAATAAATAATCTTTTTTGTTGTAATTATTCGTAATTTTAGCTCATTTTACGTTACAAGCTAAACGATGGCGGAAAAACTTAAGTGCATCTGAAGAATTTAACATTACAAAATAAGCATTATAAACAAATATACTTAGACATATTCAGTGAATATACAAATAAATGCATGTATAAGCATCAGAACGCTGGACTTAAGACCATTTTCATCTCTATAAATTCCGAATAGCCACGGAATATTGGCACTAAAGGGGATGCCAAAAACACCGTTGACAGCCTTATTAGAAGGTAAACATTGCTTTTTCATTTCATTACTTCTATTTGTTTTCGTTTGGTTTCTTTTTTTCCTGTTATTCTCAGCCTATTTAAGAAAATAATTTCACAAAAGCTTTGGTTGAGTATGTTCAGCATACAACCATAAATCAACACAAATTCGGTCGTAAAAAAATAATCGGTTGTCGCTTATAAACTCAAATAAATAGAAATTCAATGAATAATTTGAGCCAGAATGAGATAATTCTAGCAAGTATTTTTTGATCCCTATAGAGAATCAAACTAAATACACTTTTCAATTCCTAGCAGATTCTTAGTTTAATTTTTAAATAAATTTTAAACAACATAACTGTTTATGCTTTTCTCCTCAATCTTTTTCTCTACACTCACCCCATCAAATTTCTTTTGTGTTCTGTTTGATTTGTAAGTGTTCTTGGGACCATATTGCATCCAACTCGCTTTGGATGCATTCAAATTGATGATATAGTTCTGATAATTCTGCATGATTCATCTCCAAAGTGATGTCTTCGCCAGCTCCTGTTTTTAGTTGAAGAATTGCTAAAGGAGATTTTTCACGTTGCTGACAATGCGAGGAAATCTCAACGTTCAGTTTCCACGCTACGTCGGCAATTTCATTCGACTCATAGCGCTCGTCCGCCAAATTATTCATAATAGGAGTAGTTTGTCTAACCCAAAGTCGGACAATGGCGTCTATTTTGGCGTCATCTTGCAATTTCAATTTTTCACGCAATTCCGCTTGCAGCAATGAAGGTTTAATAATATAGGTGTTAATTCTTCGTAAAATATAGGAAAACGTCTTTATAAGCAACAAGAAGTCGGGGCGGGGTATGCCAACCAAATGTTCCAATTCTTCCAAAGCATTTTCATTTTCCAGCTCAGCTGACGACTTCTGTTCACTTCTAGTCTCAGCCGCATTTTGACTGCTGCTCAACATCTGACGATGAACATATTGCAATACCGTACTGAATGTGGCATAAGGCAGAGAATTTATAATTTTTATGCCTTCACGTGCACTGAAAGATGGAAATAAATAATAATATTTTCGCATTATTTTTATTAAAACATTTTACCGGTCGGTAATTTTTATCCAGTTAAAGCTCATAATGAAGAAAAAAAAAGATTAAAAATGGCGTAGACATAAAGAACTATACACCATTATTGCAATCTTTTTGAAAAAAAAAAAAACAGAGTTTCCAAACCAAAAACCTTTTCTTGCGATGTATTCTTCACTTTCAATATATACAATTTTAATTCCAAAGCTTAAAAAGAAAATCAAGCCTCGTTTTGTCCTATTCTTTTAAAACAAATAAATGACCAAGAATCAGTGAATGCGCACAGTATTCTTCTTTTTTAATTTGCGTCGTTTCACTAGTTCAAACGTTTAAGATTCATAAGCAAGATAAGAATATTGTTACGCTCTAAATGCAATAACTTATGGCAACACTTAAAAATATAGAACTACCACACTTCAATTTTCCTTCCAAACGAAAAAAGGAGAAATTGATTAAAAAACAGTTTCATGTAAAGTATATTCAAAAAGAAAATTACTGCATTTTGTAGTAAAGATTAAATTAGATATAAATCTAATTTTTTTAATAATCAACATTGCATCAACATAATATATCTATAAATACCTTGCATGGACAAAAGGTGTATTATGCTTATTCACAGATATGAAGATGTGGTATATGATCATAATCCACAAAAAGCATGGCACATATTCTTGAAATACATTAAAACTTTATCTATACACACACTGTCCTATTTGTACAAAATAAGTTCTTCAGCAAAATATTCAAACCAAATTACCATTGTACATTTATACTTACTCTCTTTTTTTTTTCTTCAGATTATTTCCTATAAATCTCAAGATCTGAATGTTTAGCTCGACAACATCTTTCGCTTAATAGCGAATATCCTTGATAATAGGGGTAGTTCATCGAACCGTGAAAATGGCGTCGATTTACTGTATGACAATCAGCCGTTCTAATTTTCCTAGAACAATCATATTTTCTAGCCTAAATTTTTCTCACTGTCAGTCGTTATCACATTATGATTATTTTCATAAGCACTGAAACTTAAATTTGCATTACGGTCACAAGATGAATTTACCGGTCCAATTCAATTAAAACTCATAATGTTGAAATAAATTGATTACAAAAAGAAGACTAAAACAGCTTAACAAACTGTTAACAACCTTTCACAAAGAAAATTTTCGTACACGATTTTTTCTTTAGCTTTTTTCATATTGTTGGAAAGTTATCACCGTTAACGCCATTATTTTACTCGAATGTCCAGATAATTTGCGTTATGAAGAAAACTATTGGTAAGAACATACATATATAAAATACATAATATTAATATATATCTATATATTAATAAAACAAAATGGCGAAGTAAAACTGAAGCATGTCTCACCTTAGCTTTTCAGGCACTTTGCGTTGAGAGATGTACAATCATTTGGATTTTGCAATGAAACGCGAAAATTGTTTACTTATAATGTTAAAAGAATTTCATCGCTTTAGTCTACTCATCCATTATGTCACCTTTTATACGACAATCCTTTAGGCAAAATGCAAACCACCGCAAGCACTATCACACGAAAATGTCCACTGACAAAATTTCAAAAACTTCATTGCAAATAATTGGTGGACAATACCAAAGTCACTGCATGACTGCTACCTTTTTCACCAAAATAAATTTACATATACCGGCAATAACTATATTGCAGAGTCGGAATAAAATAGTAGCAAATAAAATTACAATTGAAGTGAAAATAAAAACCTTAACTCAAGACAAATTGAAAAGTTGAAACAAGGAGAAATGAAACACAAATATATAGCAAAAAAAAAAACAGCTATGTATAAAATTACAATTTTGTTTTGCAAATAAGTACAATCATCCAGGAAGAATTAAATATTTATGTAAAAAATTAACTAAATTGCATTTTCGCAGAAAAAGTAATATAAAATGCATGATTTCGCAAGAAATTTGCTTTGTTTTAAGAAAAAAGACAGAAATAGGTTCATTCAAACAAGTATAACTTGTAAACTAATGGTCAGCATGTCACAAAATTTCTTCATATTCCCTTTGAAGGTTGGTGCTATCTAAAGCTCATATGAATTCGTCATTAATGGACAACGAGCTTATTGAGTGATGTGTTACATATACATCTACAACAAAAAGTAACCGCTTTATTAAGTTTCATACACATAACTAAGTGTTCTCATTGAAAGTTTTCAACATAGCATTTTATAGTAATCGTCTGTTGCCTATTCGTTCAGAATTAAAAGAAGAAGATAACTATTATGTATTTTTGAAATACGTGTGAATAAATTTTCTTTAATGAAAAGTCACCGCAGTTTTACATTATTACGAAAATAAAAGGCATATCAGGGATTAGTCCAAACTTTAGAGAATCTAAAGAATTAACGGCTTTTATAAAAACTGTTAGTTTATGTAGAGGAGAAGATCAACGAATTCAAGTGGTATTTCCTATTTCTTTATCATTTTTACCTGTAGAAGTCGCTGATCGAAATTTCTGCAAATATCTAATATTTCAATTTCTATTTGAATGCCTTGAAATGGGGGAGAAAAAAGCAAAAAAATTAATTCAAATTTAAATGTTATTCAAGATTTTGTATTCAGCTCCAAACATCAGCAAGTCAAGTTTCCTTTTGCACATTAATATATCGAATGAATGAATCATATTTGATTTATGTTGTTGTAATCAAATATCGCCGACATTACGAAGGTTTTTTTTTTCCTTTTCTGTTTGCATTAATTGGTAACAAGGGGAGACGAAAAGAAATATACATGTGACAAAGATTTGTAGAACTTTACCTGTTTCCAGTGTGCTTGCTCTTTTTTGCCCCCTTTTGTTTGTGAAATAATTCGAGAGCATTTTCTTCAGAATCGATTTGCTGATGAATCCTACCAGCGCCCTACAATCTTAAAATGGTGCAACTAATTGATTAAAATCCATACAGTTATATATTGTTTTAGATTTTAGTTTATTTTATTTTTTCACATAAAAAAAAAATACATTTAAATTTTTGCGTCATTATCTTAAATAATTGATTACATAATTTTCTTTCATTTTTCATATTGCTCTTATATCAAATACAATTTATTATTGTAGAAATAAAAAACAAAAAGTTATCAAAGACTAATTTGGCAATAATAAAAACTTATATTAATGAGAAAAATGTAAAAATATTTGTATTGTGTACGTTGTTTCCCCTTCAATTCTTAAGGGCAAAAATTTCACTGGAGTGTAATTATGACGAATAAGAGAGTGTTTTCAAATCGGTGTTAATTATATACATTTATTTTAATAATAAGTTTGCAATTTTATTAGAAACAATACAAGTGACGTTTTTATTTTATTATTATTATTATTATTATTTTTTTTTTTTATATGAAATATAGGTAACATGATTTTATTAAAACAGAGTTTAATGATTAGGTGAAATATGCTTTTAAACGCGGAAACATGATAATAAGACAAAATCAATTTTATTTCATTTGCATTTTTCTTAGTTAACGCTTTACTTGTATCGTAACTTTACATATTTTAAAGTAAAATAAAAAAAAAAAATCTATTCAATCGTGTGAGTACACGCGTTAATATATGAAATGAATGGAAATCTTCTAATTTTAGGAAAGAACAACGAGCATTGATGTAATATCTGTTAAGACTTGTAAGAGATATTTTGTACCAAGATGTTTGTATTTGTTAAGTTAATATGATCGATTTGCTTGATTTAACAATGCAATTGTAATCATTTTAAGTAAATGAAATGAAGTTTCAAAATGTAAGAAGTTATGAATATCGCGCATTGAAAGACATAACAGCGTTGCCACATATGTAGCAAACAAATTAAAAACAAAAGGATATATTGTAATCCAATAAGAAATATAATTTACGTTAAGATAAAATTGTACATTACCTGAAATTCTAATTCGAAATAAAATCGATACCTACATGTACATACATATCGAAGTTGATGAGTTTTTGGAATAAATTAAAAGACTGTGCTATCGCGACTTCAAGACAAATAATTTCGTTGAATGATAATGAAAGTGAAGTTATAAGAATTAGAGAAAGAATGAATTCCGAATAGTTTTTATTGGAAACATATGAAAAACTTTCAAACAGAAAAGGCTTTGATAATTTTAGTAAAGCAAGAATAATTCGACCGCTATTCATTGTTCACATACAATAGCACAAGGTCACTAAGGTCAAAGAATTTTGAAGTTATACAAAAGGGGCGGGGGGGGGGGGGAAGGAAAATCAAGAAAACCTAACGTTCACGTCAGAGGGCAGGAATGAGCGATCGCTAGGTTGCAGTCATTAAAAATTGGGGAAGAATGTGCAGCTCATTAAAGCAAACGAGAAGGAGAAATCTTTTAAAAACAGAAAGGTGTAAATTGATTTAGCTAAATTGTTGGTCGGCTGCGGTTGTTTTACGAGAGACCTTTAAATTAAAAGAGAATATTTGAAATTAAAGAAAAGATAGCTATTTATGTTAAACAAGGAAACAATATAAGAGTTTTCTAATTTTTTATAAAAAAAAAAAAGAGAAAAGAAAACCCGACAAACCATGTCTTCATACATTTTTAAGAACTGTGTCTTGTAAAAAGGGAAAAAAATCTCAAAGCAGAAAAAAAAGAAGAGAAAAAAAAAAAAGAAAAAAGAAAGGAAAAATCAACAAGCTAATGTAATAGAATGAGTGTAACACACGAAAGAATCAATGAAACGTTAAAGGAGCACTCCTCTTCACACCGGTCGGTGCGTGGAATCTCTAAGAGGAAAACAATAATTGACATTTCTTTTGAGTTATATTTCCTGAAGATTAAACATTGTTTTTGTTAATTTTAAGACCTATAATTTGTTAATAACCCATTTAGCCATGGCGATGCGCATCGACGTGGTTGTTAGTTTTGGTAAGTTTTTTTTTTATAAAATTGATTAATAACCATTGTTCATTTTGAAAATTTTGGTTTTGAACTATTGAAGTAAATCATTATAACACTTTCGTCGGAAAATAAAGAAAAGAAATGTATTATTATTAAAAGGTAAAACGCTGATAAGACTTCCTGTGGATGACGGAGGGGCGAGGTAAAAGAATATGGTTAGGGCATGAATTAAATTAGTCAAAAGTTCAAAATTTTTTTGTAAGCATGTTTTATTTAAAATAATGAACTATTGTAGCGAGGCAAGAACCTATCACGTATCTGAATACATTTTATTTGGACACCCTCCATCCGACGAGCCAGGCCGGAAAACATGCGAAAAAAAATGGTAAAAATAAACAACAACATCCGTGCATAGGTTGAATTCCCGAAACGTTACATATTTAATTATTTTTGGCGCAAGTTTAATTATTTTTGGCAAGTTTATAGTTGCTTGGCTACCGAACACCAGAATCTGTAAGTTTCAGGGTAGTGTCATTAGCGCAGAGATACAAGAATGATAACATAAATGCACAATAGAAAGCGTTAGGAAGCCAGACATCCTAGCACGGCAACGCGACAATCCTGGACGCAGAAGTGATCTCAGATGCAAATGATCTGAATACATCACATGAACGAAAAGCGTACTACAATACAAGCGCGATGAAGCAGGCTGTATACAACCAGTTCCACTATAGGTTGCAAACTATTGGAAGCATCCTATAAGTTGAGACGAAGCAATGGAGCCAAGAAATTGATACGGCTCGGTATGACTAGAATATCAGACACGGCAATTCTATCAACGTATGCAATAGTTGAAAGCTTCCGATGCTTTAACGTCTTTAACGCATCAACAGCAGTACGGCAAGGAATCGGTTAAGGGATCTTTCTCTTTACATGTAAGTTATCCCAGGCTAAGTCTAACAGAAAATCTGTACCATGTAATCAAAAAAACAAGAGGCGAAGCCAAAGATATAACTAAAACAAACAAAAACCGCCTATTACGTTCGTTTTGTCCATCGAAGCCGGCATGTTAGGTTAGGTTTTCTCTCCATAAAGGAGCTTGCGTTTTGTGATAGCATCTTCTCAGTCACAATATTTGTTGACGAGACGCGGCACAGTTCTAGATCCTCATCATCAGGGACTTTTTATGAAATGCTTAGCTGGAATAAATAAATTGCCTTACAATTGTTTCCGTTGTTTCTATATATACTAGTATCCTACCGCTATAACAGCCTAAGAACATGAATTTTCTAAAAGTATGAAAAACATATTATTTAAAACAAAAAAAAAAAAAAATAGCAACATCTTAGGCACTAGTAGCAAATTAAGCAGCTCTAAGGTACGGGGAAAAGAGAATGGAAGAAGAAAATCATTCCACCGAGTGAGCAAGAGAAAGAAAATTTGAAAATATTGATTCTTGTGTGATTGGCAAACAAGGCACGAGGCAAGTATTTGAATCAAAAGCAATTATTCTTTTCACTTCAAGGCAACGTCATTTGAATTCCCACAAATATCTCTTATACGCAAATTATAACTTAAGGAAACGTCTAAATGATGCAATGCGATGCAAAGAAAGTTTCTGCTTTATTCGCCTTACTATCCATATTTGGCCCAACAATTCTCCACATCACCGAATTCTAGTCCAAAAAAACCCAACATTATAATAAAAAATATAAATTACCGTAGTAATCTTCAATATCCAAAAATTTCCTATTAAATCCTCGCACTACACTTTCTATGCACAAAGTACAATCCATCCCCATAGTATAGGAAAATGTTCCTATTAAACATACTAGGCCTTTTGTAGCCAATGCCAAGCGACATATAACACCGTCCCGCACAGGCTCCAAGTTGATACGAGTCTACTATAACAAAGTTGTGCGCTTCTGTTCATTGAAAAATTTCGCAACGGAACTTTTTTGGGAAAAAGCGAATTTAATTAAAATGATCAGTAATAGTTGCCAACTTAACCTGCATATAAAGAGAAAATACCTCGAATTTATCGCAGAGAAACGAAAATTTCCTTTAATTCGAATAATAGAACTAGTATTATAACTCATGTAGAGTGATATCATTTTACGTAAAAATTATTTTCAAGTAATATTAGGTTTCCTTTAAATTTTTTGTTTTTGTCAAGGTTACTTTTTTAAAATGAATGATGAATTTCGAATGTTGTTGATGTGAGTATAAAAAAATAATTTTTAAAAAAAAATTGCTAAATAAGCTGTAAAAATAGTTCAAAAAGAAATTTTCGACCGAGTAGTAAAGTTTACTTTGCCGTGTAAAGATCTGATATTACAGTCAACTGCCATTGTCGAATGATAGGTAAAGGTTGAAAAAACAATCGTTAAATAGCTACACCGACCAATCACTTGAAATCGACTTATCTTATGAACTATTTTTTATAGGAAAAACACAGTAAACAAAATCTAACACTGGTCCGATGGATTTATTTGTCACCGTTTCTTATGGCTGCTCCCCCTTTATTGAATTGAAGGGTTATTTTTTAGCGCTAGTCGATGTAAACGTTTTTATACACCCTTTAACAGGTGAGAGAGATTATATCCTGTACCGATGATGGCAGATTCCGTCAATCGGCATTAATAATTGAGAATGGAACTTACGCGATTGACGGTAAAGGGCCTGTTGAACGCTATGATATCAAACGGGACATATGGACTGTTGATAATTTGTTAAAAATTGACGCACAAGGCACAGGGAGAAGGGGTCGCTCTTATCCAGCGTCGAATTAACTGATGTAGAAGAACGTGACAACGTATTATTATACACTGCAAAGCGGAACAGAAAATAAAATATATTTTTTTTAATTACAAAAATCTTTTACTTCAAGTCCTCCCATCCACCAATGTTCGTACGATGAAATAATTAATAAGGAGTTCGTCAGTTTTCTTTTATCATGGGACATGTGCATACAATGTGACGATCAATTTTGGAACATTACAATCTGATATTACCGTCAATTACATTAATAATATCATATCGTAGTGGTCGCGAAGAGATAGCTGCAATGAAAATTTCGAAGCGAAATTTGTTGCATTTAGTAACTACGTGTAGGTTAAGGCCATTACTGTATCTGTATATATTAGTATATTCTTATATTACTTAAGTGTAGTTATTTACTTATACAGGCCGTTATTCTGTCTACATAATATATCCATGCAAGTGTAATAAGTAAGTGTACCTGCTTAGTTATTTATGTTATTTTCCGATATTTACCATTAGCGAAAGGTGGGAGGCTTAGAACTGCCTGCATGACACTGCACAATACTCTACTGCTGGACAAAAAGGGAAATTAAATTACCAATTGACAACGCCTATCAGACCGTAAGAAAAGAGTAGGGAAGAAGAAGATGATTTCTTTCTTCCTTTTTCTTGTGCGAACCGTCGTAGGGACAAGATAACACTGAAATCTAATCCATGCCCATCCGCTGGGATTTCACGCGATAGGTGCCGAACTAAGGGTAATTTTGATAGAAGACTGCCATTCCGACAATAAATGTTTTAAGTTAGGATAGTATTCGAAACATGTACTTTATTTAACAATGTAAACTAACTTATATATTTATAAGTAAGTTGAATCACCGAAATAAGAAATAATAGGACTTTCATTTAGGTGAGCGATCCGCTAAGACTACCCCAGCACTATTCCAATTACAGTAAAATTTTTTTCGGCAGAGAAGGAAAAATATACAATCCTCACAACCGAGAGAGAGAGGGAGAAAAAAATAAAAGAGAAAGAGAGAAAAACAAAAGTAAATAGATGCAGGATTAACGAACATATAAAATGTATTAACTCAAATATAAAATGTTATAATACTAATGTCGTGCGAATATTAGCATAACCACCTTAGCATCATACTAATATATAAGAATCATTATTGGAAATATATTTGAATATATGGAATAAATCAAAATCCAAAACCCTTCTTAATTTCTTAAGATGTGTAACGTTTCTTTGTGAGCGCGGTCTAGCTCTTGTTCGGTCGAGCGGTACCCTCGGCCCGTGATTCCGCATCACAAAGAAAACATTAACTAATAATAAGAGCAACGTAACTAAAAAAAGGTCTTTTGTTTTCATTATATAATCCTGTCGTCTGTCTTGTGCGACGTCCGTTGGTCTCTCCTTCGTCTGTCGTTATCTGTCCAGGGACACCCTACTTCCCCTCACGCACGCACCCACGCATCTTTCACTTCTTCATTTCTTAATCCACTTCATAGGCAATTTTGCTACCATCCGGCTCGCCATCATTACCACTTCCATCATCCGCGTTGGTAGACACTGAGAGTTCACTGTTTATCATTGCCGAGTGGCCGGTTGGTAATAGATTTATTGGAATTTGGTTTGTGTACGAATGCGAGCCATCTCTCCAAAACTCTAAGAGTTTGAAAGTTTATACAGATGAGTACAATCGTTCTCTTGTAGTGAACTATGATGTCACAAAGAACCAATCTATTTGGTGCGAGCAGAGAGCTGGTGAGCGGAAAAAATCAAGGTCGACAGAGAAATGTACTAAAAATGTATCCAAGTGACAATAATTAAAATTGTGCGCACACTTACCCTCATTACGCAAAGAGAAAGTGTTTTATGGTACAGGATAAAAATTTAAGGCTAGAACAGAGATCAGCCGCGGCTTTCGTTAAACTAATCGCAATACGAATGGCTGAAAACCCCCGAATTAGTAGTTATGCCATTAAGCATGTATTACGGAAATGCCAGTATCAGTCGCCAACAGCAAATGCAAACGGGTAAGTCATAAACATTTTTGTCACAACTAAAAAGTGCCAAAGCAATGATTGCTAGTTTTCACAAGGAATAAGTGCTAATTTTTAAATTGAAGAGAAAACTTTTTAAAAAATACTATGACTGATGGTAGGTACAAAAGACGATATGGAAATATATTTTTCCCAAAAAAATGCCAGAATTTATTCCTCTCTATGGAGCAAACAGGGCATCCTTTAAAGTCCGTGGTTGCTCGGAAGTGTTACGTTAAGCTTTACTTGGCCGTTAGGCTCAGAGGAGTACGAAATTTATTTATGATTATGGGATCAAAAGGAAAATTAATGATAAAAAATAAAGAAAATATTTGGAGAGCATTTCTTACGTTACGGCGCAATTGCCGTATTGTATTAACCGTATTAATTAAAGTTACAAAGTTCCAAGTAAAAAATGGTGCCTAGATACGGACATATGTTGCTGCTTAAAGAATCGCATACATTTCTTTGAAACAATTGAACAAATTGAGAAAGTTTACATTGATTTTTGAAATTTACAATAACAAAACAGAGGACCAATGAACCTTTTTCAATATTCCTTTTCAATTATACATTTGCAGTTATGGTCTCTATGGCTTCATCGTTCGAAGCTCAAATTTAACGTTTCTTGCATTTCCGTAACATTAACGTAAATAGCGCCAAAAAGGGATATAATCAATTATGAAATCAAGATCGTAAAAATTATAGAATCTTTTTCCATAAATTATTTTTATTGATTTAATTTTATAACATCAGCGATCACATACAAATGCACTTGAATATTAAAAAAAAAAAAAAGATGGAAAATTTTGGTTTAGTATAATCCTGTGATGCAATGTCCTGCAATGATCTATGCAGAGCCTCGTTTGATTGTCATTACCAAAGATTATTTTTAACACTAATACTCGCGCATTTACATATATAGCTTTAATACAGTTTATTGAATCCGTATACATATTTATGTAACTTAATTATAGAACTTAGGTGTATTTGATTAATTGAACACTTTGCACAATTGCCCTGGCTTCATTTCGCTTCCTCTTTTTTTTTGTTTATTTCATTTTTGCCCCGTTTGGACATATTTTAATCTTGATCAATTTTAAGAAAAAGAAACTTTGCTTTT